GGGGGCGGCAGCGGGCCCCCCCGCCGGGGGGGGGGGTGCGTGCGCGCGCCATAGACCTCCCCTTCTCTTGCCTCCAGCCCACTCTAGGGCCAGACTTACTCTCCCACTGCCACTTGCCATGCTCCGAGCTGGTTGGGACAGGGGCAGCTGGGGGCCCCCTCCAGCAAGGCTGAGGGCAGCAGGGGGCTGCAGGTAGGGAATAAGAAGCACTGGCAGGACTGGAAGGGCTGTGGGTAGGCAGTGAGAGGCACCAGCATGGCCTGGGGGGTTGGGAGTGAGAGACACCAGTAGGGCCAGGGGTCTGCAGGATGGGAGTGAGGGGCAGCAGCAGGGATGGGGGACTGCAGGTTGGGAGTGGTGTGTCCCCCTGACAGATGTCCTCTTTTCTGAAACTGGAAATATGGTAACCCTAGCCAGGGCAACATGTCAGCAACTGGACCAGCAAGGGAAACCGAGAGCCCTGACTTTTCATCCTCAATGCTCTTAGGGTGGTGCAAGGGATGCTCCCCAGTAGCAATTCCTCTGATCAAACACGTCAGGAAGAAATGGAAAACCTTATTTTGAGCGGGAACTAAAAGAGCTTCGCTTGTTTAGCCTAGTAAGTCAAAGGCTGAGCGGATATACCATACTCTTTATAAACAGATTGAAAGTATGCACTGAGGGTATACGGATGCAGAAGAGCTATTCCAGGACAGCTGGCACAGAACAAAAGGGTATAAAGTGGCCACGGATAAATTTAGGCTGGAAATCAGGAGTAGGTTTCTAAGCAACAAAGAGAAGCCTTGAGAAGGAGCTTGATAAATGTATGAATGGAACAGCACAATATGGCTGCAGGGGACTAGACTCTATGACCAATGTTCTTCTGGTCTGAATGCCTGAAGACAAAAGGCAAGGCCTTAAAAGATTCTAGTCTTCCACCACACAAGTAAATCCTTTTTTTTCCAAGCCTGGGCTGTCACTTGGAGGCACTTTGATTAACCACACAAATGCCATGGTTTAGATCACTAAACCACACTCTTGCCAGCCTAACTTTTCCACTTGTGTCTGTGCATACCTCCTTCCAGAATGAAATCATCTGTCCTAGCAAAAGCTGTCTCTACACCCAGGACTGATGTTTCATCTGTATCAATCCCCCTGTCCCTCAGCCAACATAACTATGCCAGCTGAAGTTCCTTGTGCACACCAAGTTTAAACAAGGGACATTCAGAAACCAGTTTCACGGGCAAACCACGTCATGTAAAATGCCAGATCAATGCAATCCATGACACTGAACTCACACTATGACTCCATTCACACACCCCAGACTCCATCCTGGGTTATCACCCCTACAACTCTAGAGGACAGAGATGGGGAGGGGGGCACAACTTTGTGTTTGGAAGGGCAGAAAAATAGCAACAGGATTCTTCCCTCACCCCTAAAGACAGCAGGTCTTAGATTTCACTACCACTGGGATACATAAGGCCATCCACACACCAGATTTGTTACTGCACTAAGTTGGCAGACTCAGGAATCTGCTCCTACTGCTGCTGCACTGGCTACATTCAGATCATGTTTTCAGTCTTTTATTTCCAACCACAAGGGTCAGAATCTTTCATTTTCTTTTGAACAAAAGCCAAAATTCTATCCTCATTATGTAGCTGAAGAAGCTGGAGCCCCAAATCTATACCTTAAACCAGTCCATATCAGATAACCTACGGACACTGTGCACTGTACTCACCACATCATCTTTGGTCTGTCTCACATGTTCCAGCTGCCTCTGTAACTCTCTTTCACTGTAAGTGAGCTTATCGAGCTGGTTCTGTAACGAATTATTTTCAGACTGAAGCTGTGCATTCTTACTGGTTAGTTTTTCAGTGAATACCAGTAGCTCAGACTCTCTTTTCCGACTGCCTTCAATGTCCTTTTGGAGATCAGTAATCAAGGAGTTCAGACTATCCACTTCTTCCTTCAATGCATCGATCTCTTGTTCATCTCTGCCAAAACAATGATACAGTTTTTAAAGACTTTGCTTGAGTTTAAATATAAACATGAATGAATTAAATGGCTTTCAGACTGCCAATGAGCTATCAGTGCCCCCCAGTCATACTTGTGAGAATGGCCAGTAAAGATCAGGTATAAGCACTACCTGAACTTGCAAATTCAATTTACTAAGTGATACAACCCTGACTGAGGTGCAATTTCACAAATAAGCGGCAGTTCCAAAGGGGCTCCATACGCGAGGACCCCCTTGGAAGATATGAATCCAGTATAGAAGGCACAACTAATCCTGCCTAGTGTATCCCTGGCTAATCTTGTAGAATAGCAGGGTTTACATGCACATCTCTGCAAAAATATTTTCCAAACTTCCATAGTGATTTTTTGGAAAATATTAATAAGTGCAGAAATATTTCCTCACAGTATAAACAGACCTCTAATCTTTTCTTGCTTTTTGGTATCATTCAGAGTATACATCTAAATTCTGCCCAAGTGGTTTATTACCCCACATTCACCGAGTTTACATTTCTTCTAATATACCTGGATATAAAACAGACCAAAAAAACCCTTAAGGATTGTAAAAGCATTATCTGTTCCTTATATTAAAGATGGGCTTATCTTTAGACTATTAACCTCCTTTGTGGTCAAGTATTTCTCTTTATTCTAATCTGATTGAGGCTGTAGCTGACTGAAGTGGGAAGCTAGAACAGTAAATTATGCTGTTTTCAAAGTGGACCGATCTATCACAGGCAAATGAAACTGGAGGAGTTTCAAATTCCAGTTAACCCCTACGGGGAAAAAAGTCACAGCAATAAATCATTTGGTCTCAAAAATGATAATTTGTTTCCGTTTATTTGATATAACGGGCCAGAAACCAGCTTTTTCTCAAAAGGCAGAAAGAGATGCATTTTGTTAAAAGCTAAGGCGACGGCTCCCAATCTGTGGTACAGGTACCACCAGTGGTACACAGACAACCTGTCAGTGGTACGCATTAACTGATTTATTATAATTATAGGACAAAAATTTGCTGGTGGTACTTAAGGATGAACTGAAAAATGTGTTGGTGATACTTAAGGTTGTATTGTTTTAAATTGGTGGTGCGCAATCTGTCAGAGTTTGGGAACTGCTGAGCTAAGGTACTTCTAACAGTAGTAGCCACTTTTCTATACTGCTTATATTTGATACAAATAGAATCTTAATACATGGTTTACTAAAGATTAATGTTTAGGTGAATTAAATGGGTATTCAGCTGTCAGATGTTGTAGAGTCCAACTAGTCAAAAGACTGGCTATACCCAACAGCTATTGCATGACCTATAAGTATGACCTCTATTACTGTTGTAGCGCACTCATGCACAAGGCAAACTTGTCTGTCTGGTTCCTAGAACAAATTTCCATCAGTTAGAAATATCTACTACATCTACAAAAATGTGGAAAAAAGAAATCACTCAGTGAGAACTCCCTCAATGTGAAAGAATACTAAAGAGGTTGACATGGAGATAACCATCCAAAGATTTCTGCAGGGTGTAGTCAGCTTCTTGCTCTGCTCCCAGGAGCTCCTCTCTGCACACCAGCGTGCTCTCTGGACACAGTCCAGCTATACAGGCAATTTGTGATATTTTCAACCCCACAAAAGCAAATCAAAGGATACAGCATACAAGCCTATTAAGAATCCCAACAGAAGACTGGCAGCTAAGCCACATTATTAAACGATACCTACAGAAGGATTTTTTCTCTTCTTTGTGACATGTAAAGGCTGCCTGGAAGGGTTGTTTTGTTTTGTTTTCCTCCTAGAAAAATCAGTATCATCAGGTCTCCTCTTTTCTGCTCTTGCTAGAAAATTCACAAGGGAGGACGCCTGTGAATTATATATTTATTGTCTGCTGAAGTCACAGTGTTGACCCTTCAGTGAAGGTTAATATCCTAATTGTTTAACAGATGTTAATGAGAAGAGACCCAAACTCCCTCTCACTCAATTGTTCTTTTGACATTTTTTCCACTTATTCTTCAGTAACACAGGGCCTTTTAAATTCAACTACATAAAGATCCCCAGAAAGCCTCTCTGCCATTGCTGAATCATGTTGTGTGCAAGGTCAAAAAGCAAAATAAATTCCATGCCCCCTTAAACTCAGTCCCTCTTAGTAGAAGAACTAAGGGTGTTAATTCTCACTCTATTGAAAGAAATAAAAGACAGTCTACAACATCCCACCTCACTTTTCAATAATCTAAATCACTTGCTCCAAACTCCTTCCTAATTTTGAAAATACAGTGTAATTCTTACAATTCTTTGCTGAAGCCTGCTCTTAGTCCCTCTTCCCTCAGAGGCCAAAATAATGCTCAGGGTGCCCCCACTGCTATGGTTGGCATTGTATTCAATATAGGACACTTACTGCTTTCTTTATCTTATATTTTCATCTATGCTGATACAGCCAACCATCTCTGCCTTAAAAAAAATTGCCTACTGGTACCCTCAATCGAAGTTCTCAGCTATTTTTATTACAATAACCCCATTCACAGCTCCACACCACAGAATAATGTACACTGCCCATTCCAAAGCAAACCGGCTCGCTAGGACTGGAAGGGATCTTGACAGATCACCTAGTTCAGGGGTTCTCAAAGTTTTTATGCTGTGGCCTGGCAAACCGCAGTGCGGAAGTGACCGCAGCTCAGCAAACCGCAGCCCAGTAGTCACAGCCGACCGTGGCCAGAATTTCCAACCGGCAGACGGGTAAGGATACCCCCATCCACCAGGAGGAGGGGGTGGCCTCTCCGCCAAGCTCTGGGAAGATGTGGTTTGCCAGTCTGCGGACACTTTCGGTCCAGCAGCCAACCCAGGGCTTGAGAACCCCTGATCTAGTTCAACACCTTCAGTAAGACAGAATCAAGTATCACCCCTGACAGATGTCTGCCTAATCTCACTACTTCCAGTGAAGGGAAGTCCCCAAATAGCCTATTTCAGTGGTTCACTACTGACAAAGGAAAAACATTTTATCTAATACCCAATCTCAATTATTTTTATTTTATATTGAACCTATTTCTTCTCATCTTTCACCAAGTGGACAAAGGAAAACGGTTGATCACTTATCATTTTTTAACTGCTTTTTAATATCGGAAAACCTTGCATCTCTCCTCAGCCTTCTCATATCAGACCAGGGGCTGCCAAACTGGGGGTGCCAATCAGCTGTCTAAATCCCATGCCTGGCAGCTCTAGCTGGACTGTTACATGGGACGGCAGAGGCTCCGGGCAAGAGGGGTGAAGAGCTCTCTCGCCAGGGACTTTAAACTCCATGCCCGACAGCCTAGCCAGAGCTGCCTGGCACAAGGTTTCAAGTTCCAGGCAGGAAAGCCTTTTTCGTTCCCCGCACCATCCCCACCCCACAGCCTCAGGCTGGGCCCAATACCACATCAGGACTAGTTCCAGACCCAACAATTGGCTGATGGCAAGTGTCAGGTGTCAAAAACCAGCCATAAAAAGGTTCTACATTATATGTAGAACCTTTTTATGGCTCATTTGCCATTTTATGGCACCTTAAATTGGGTACATGTCTAGCCCTTCTGCCATTTATGTTGCCTTTCCTTTTCTTTTTCGTGTTCTTGTGACAAGGTATTTAGCAGAATTCATAGATTTCAGTGAATCTGACAGGCTGTGCGGTGAGCACTTCTGCTATGGTCTTGAACTTGTGACCTCTTGGGCCTTAGCGACTGCACCACCCCAGCCCATTTATGCTGTGATTAACATGCTAATGTAATGTGTAGATGAGGCCTGAAGCATGTTTTCAGATTCAACATCCTTTTCATCCTCCTTAGATACTCTCATGGGTAATGGAGGGAAGGGGGTTATTTTTTTCTTTGTCCAATCTTTGCCAGAGAGATAAAAATTATTATTCTATACAAAAACTGAATCAGAGGTAACAAAACCTATACAAAAGAATGAAAAAGCTACACAAGAATCAGAATAGCATGGCTAAATAGAATGAAAGATATTCATATTTCCTGGACCAAATCTAAGGGATAAATATTAGAGGAACAGATAACTAAGTATATCTGAAACATATATTGTGCAATAAGTAGGGACCTACTGAAATCTGCAGTGGGAAAATAAAAGCAAACTTACGGAAAATAAAATATTGCCTCCCCAGAGGCAGCCAGCAGTTTTCAGGGTGCTGCGGCAGCCTGCCTGGGAAGGAAAGGGGGGAGAGGGGACTGCCTGCTTGGAGGACTGCTGGCAAGATGGCTGCTGCCCCCACCCCTGATTGGCTACAAGGGCTGCCTGTCATGGCCCCACCCCTCTCCAACAATCAGTGGCAAGGGGCAAGGCTGCATGAAGGCTGCATGATGACAGCCTTCGCAGCCAATGAATGCTCTGCCCATGAAATAGCTGCGGGGCCCCATGGTCTGCCCGCAAAATCAGGGGGCAGCCCCCTCGAATTCAGTTGGTCCCTTGCACATATATGATTTTAATTAGTTTGGCAGCTTCTGATCTATGGTTACCTTTTAAGGATCACAGTGTACACTGCTGTTACACTGTTGCATTTGGTAACTGCAGTTTTCCTAGAAAAGACTGATGGCATATAAGGAACTGAAAACATCCGTTTGTGTACCCCTGAGGGAGGCCGACAAATTGCTGAAATATTGTCCCATGGCAAATGAAAACTGCTTGCAAGTACTGCAGGGATGTGTAGGTGGATTATTTGTGATGCTCATCTGCCTCCAGAACAGTTTGAATGTGTGAAAAAGATAGTATTTGTTTGTGTTCTATTTTACATAAACCATATGGAAATATGATTATGCCCAGACACTGTTCTGGGATGTCCATAAGCCAAATTCTCCTCCAGCTTAGAGTAGAGGGTGTGGGGTAAGCCAACATTTGCTACAGTGCAGTTAAGGGAGCTTTGCCAGAACCAAAACTAATTCAAGAGAAGAGAATCAGCCCTTCTGTTCCTTAAAAGCTCAAGATTTGATGTAGATAAATTCAAGATGCAACTTAGAGATGCAAATGAGCTCAATACTAGGTGAATGTTCTGAAAATCACATGTTAATGGATATAAATTAAGGTTTCCTTTAAGTGCTTCAATTCACCCATCACAATAAAAGAGCCTGATCCTCTCAGCTCAGCTGCCTCTTTCCTGGCTCTTGAATCACATGAGCACTGAACAGTTTCCCTGCATGGAAGCTGAACAGTCAGCTCCAGAATGCACACTTATTTTTATCCTGACAGGTCCCATTGTTATATGATCTATTATCTGTAATATTATCTCTTATCTGATCATCACATTTCATCAACATAATATTCTTGGGTACATTTAAATCATTCAGAAGTTTTGCAAGGGGCTGTACTGGAACAGGATAGATTCCCTGTGGACACCCAAGTACAATACATACCAAGGCAGAAATATTTTTAAAACAAAAACATGCTGCAGATTTAAGGGAAGTCTGTTTTAAATCCACACTTTAATGTATACCTTTGATGTTGTTCCTGCAGCTGATCAACAATTTTCACTCTGTCCAGCAAATTCTGAATCTCAGCCTTCTGCCGATTAATGATTTCTTTGTACTTAGATAACTCATCATCTGTTCTCAACCTTTCATCCTCTAGACACCTCACCTAAATGTAGAAGATAAAAGAAACTATAAGCTTATTTTCTTAGCAAACTTCAGGGCTGGTAAGTTTTATATGGCAGTCTAAAGTTCTGATTAATTATTATAGTATAGTATTGCCTTCCTGTTTTTGAACATGAAGTGTACATATAATTGGATTCAAAAGCTAAATTAAGTATTAATTTTAGTCATATGAATATGAAAAAGCTGTAAATATCAGCTGCTTAAAAGGACCAAATTAAATAAAATAAATAGGGGCAATACAATCTTCCCTAAAGTTTCATAACTCTACAAACATCAAGGAATCAAGCCTCCTTAACTTCACCCTCTTCCTCCTATTAACAAAGCCAACATACATCATGCCCTCCCAACCCTTTTCTCCAAGGACCAGCCCTATGGGGTCTGCACTGCTCCTCTTCTAGCCAGGATCAGGATGAGTTATTTGGCAGTGGTCTATGAGGCAGTGGTCTATGGCCCTCATTGGCCTTCAAACAACACCCAAACACAGTTGAACTCTAATCCTTTGTGTAATTCTTCTGCCAGTTAGGACAAACTCTATTTGTGCTGCTTGTAAAGATGCATATAGTGCAGTTCTACATAAATATACACCACACAGACGGTAGCATCAGTCATTTTCAAAACCTACTCAAGTACTCCTAATAGCTTTGCTGTAAAATGTGGCAGAGAAAAAAAAAAATGGGACAGCGAGAGGTACCAGCTCAATGACACTCCAAGAAACACTGGCTAGATCAGCCATTCCTAAATAATGCAGCCGCCTTGAACTCATCCTACAAAGTCCTCATTCTATAACGTGTATGGTGAGAATACATGCAGTGACTGTGTTTCATCTATCTGATGTATTGCCAAAAGTTTTATACTCCATTTTCAACCTATGGCTACAACAATCTCTAGTTACCTTTGTTCTCAGTGTACGCAGCTCATCCATGCCCTCTTTAAATGTTCTTTTCAAGTCCTCCAGTTCTTTGATTTTGGCATGATGTACCTGGTAAAGAAGGAGAGCATCACAATAAGCCTCAGTCTGAGGCAGGAGTCTGTACATTGTCTGTAAGGCAGCACTCTGTGCCACAAACCTAGAGTAGCGCTCTGTGCTTTCAGCCAGGAGCTGGGAAGGCTGGGGTGGCAACAGGAAACGTGGAGTAGCAGCAGCAGTAGCAACAGCCACCTTTGACACCTTTGAAACCAGATGCCTTAGTTTGGCCTTTTTGAGAGAATATTACTACTAAAGCAGCAAGTCTCTGCTGAGCAGGTGAGAACCAAGATTCCCTCCTAGATGCTTTTAGCCTTGCCAAATTTGTGATGGCAAAAGGCAACACCAAAACCCTTTCTTCAAACCATGGAGGCCCCATAGCTTCTCAAAAAAGCAATGGTCATTTCCCTCTAACTTTGTTCTTGGAAATGCTTGAATTGCCTTAGCTGGAACATCCCCCCCAAAAAATGTAGCCTGCAGCAGATACCTGGTATGCAGAATTTGGCCAGAGTAAATATTTGGCAAAGTTATAAGCAACTAAAAACAAGTTCTAATCATGAGAAGCACTGGGCAACTTGGAAGAGAGGCCTTGCTGCCTCTAAGCAACACAACGTGTTTACCTCCAACTGGTCAGACTTTTCCTGCATTTGTTTCTCCAGTTCTCCCTTTGTTACACGGAGTTTTGCATCCAACTCGTTCGATTTAATTTCTTCCGACTCCTACGGGAATGCAAGAAACGAGCACACTTCATTTTAGGAGCATTAAAAAAAGCCACTCTTTGCCCATTTTATGGGCACATTAATATCACCAACTCTGCAAAACGGCTACATAGAAGCTTTGAGCCTTGCCCTCCAAAGCTGGCCTCAAAACTGGCCTCCCTATTTCTTTTCCATTCATACCTAATCTTTGGACCTGCATACAAAGTGACATGTCATCTCACTTGTGCTATATACACAGTAATCTTTCACTTTATTACAAGTTACGCGGCAAATAGAAAAAAGAAAAATGAAATGCTAAACACGCTAAATTTCACCTCATAAGAAAACACGCCTACTTGGTACGTTTTTATCATTTCTTGGCAGTTTTTCCGTATCTGATCTGCTTCCTCTTTTGCTTGTGTTAACTTCGTTGTTGCATCCTTGAGTCGGTCTCTAGTTTCCTAGAAAAACAGAAATGGATAATGGGTTGAACCTGCCAAGGACGACAAAGTTTTTAACTGAGGAAAATGTAGCTCTTTTCCAAATATTTTCAACTCCATGGTGACCAACTTCTCTCCAAATAGCAATGTATTTTGTTTGAACAACTGCAGCTATTGATGGAGACCGATAACGTGAAAACCCTTAGCTTTTGTTTAAAAATAAAAAAATAAAATAATTCCAGGCCTTATGAATGTAGAGAAATTTGACATTATAAATAAGATGAAAGCAAATAAAAATAAGCTGTAGCTAATGACTTGAAAAAAATCTCACGATTTTTAAGCCAACGTCATGATTTAGAATTCACCAGTTTCTGTAAGAAGCCATATTTGAATTGTAACCCTCCCTGCCTTCGGTATGAAAAAAATGGACAGAAGCAATGTCCCATCCCCTGCCCTGCCGCCTCCAGCAATCCTCCTCAAGGTGTTAAAAGGTTTTAAAGGATCATGCTGAGTCTTCCTCAATCCGTATGCAACAGCTGGGTCCTTTAAAGAGACCCAGTTCATCTAATCTATCAAAATCTTACTTAAATTACCTTGTCAGTTGGTACAAAAGACAGTTACTTAAAACTGTAGGGAGGGTTAGCCTGTGACACACATGCCAAAAGAGGCACAGGCACCTCTGTGAGTGGCACGTGGCAGATCAGGGAGAAGACGGGCAGCACAGTGCCAGAGAGGACAAGCAGCAGAAAGAAGAGCAGCAGATCAGGCAGAGAAAAAGGATAGGAGTGGCATTCAAGGAGGGTGTGAGGCTAATCTCTGGCATGCCTGCCAAAAAGGCTGACCCCCGCCAACTTAAAACACTACTGTCTGTTCACCTCAGTCAGTCTGCTAAATTTTTGAGTGTTCCCTTTTTCATGTCGTGGTCTGTTTGTCTTTATTCACTGAGAGCAAACACAGATTTTCTAGCCAGGTATTTAAATCCCCTGGACTGCTTTAAACATTTCAATCTAAACTGCTGAACCCTGAGCTCCAGAATAAGCCCTCAAAAACCAGCAAGCAGCACGAGTCAGACAGCTCAGCAAGTGAAAGTCTCTTGTCAGTAGAACCTACATTTTATGAGCCAACGTGAAGTCAGTAATTCTGAAAAAGAAGTTAACAACAGGGGATAAATCCTTTCCAAACAAAACTCATGCATCTAGGAAAACTTTCCTCTTCTGTAATAGATGTTACAGCCCATCCTCTCCATCTCAGACTCCTCAAAGCAAGGACCTTTTACCATGGCTATCTCTTTCCTTTCAGTATGTGTGCATTTAAAAAAGAACCAAGTGCAAAAGCCTAGTTTCCAATTGCTCTTATTTCTCCCCAGTTAGACTGACAAGTGTCGGTAACCTGGATCGTGCACAGATTCTGAACTGGTAAATTCAGAATAGGAAGGGCAAGAAATTCTTAGCAGGGGCTGCAGGGTGTATAATTTTGATTTTGTTATGAGATAGAAAAGGAAAAGGTCTCTGGCAGTCGCAGAGAAACAAAAACCCACTCCAGATATATTCTATTCTGTCCTTCCACAATTTCGCTTCTCAACTGGAAACTTCTTTAATCCACCTGTAGACAGCACAGTCTACAGATGGATTTAGGGGCACATTGTAATCTTACTCCATGACAGTGTTTTACTAACCTTGTGAGAATCCATTTCTGTTTTCAATTTGTTTTGGGCCCATTTGACTTTGATAACATGAGAGTTTATTTCTTCTTTCAGTTTTTCTATCTCTCTGCTCAATCTAGCAGCTTCGCCTTCCTAAAACCAAAACAGAACACAGGTATTGTTTTGTAGACTTTGATCCTCCAGTGTTTATATAGCTATAGCACTCGTGTACGATTAGTCTTATTCTAAGTGCAGGCTGTCAACTTTAAGGCTATGATCCTGAAAGACGAACATAACGCTTTAGCCCCTAACTTGTAAATATTCAAATGTTTAGGCCTGAGCTCCCCTAGTGAGAGTGCATCCCTGTCTGCACGCATTGCTGGTACATTTAGGGGCTATCAGGGGTGGCCTCTTCACTAGAGCCCCTTTGATTTAAATACAAGGGAACTGCTAGCAGACTGGTTTCCTTGGGGACTATGATGGTCCAGGAAAACCTAGATTTGCTGATCTTCTGAGAAGGCTGCAAAGGTGCAGTTTTATTCCTTCAGTAGATTGAGGGGACAGATGCAGGTTCCATGGAGCTAAAACCAGAAGGTGCAAGAAGATACAACTAAATACTTAAGGACTGGTAAAACTTTTGTACAGAACTGATGGAATCCTTGCATAACTTGATACATAAAACAGATCAATACTGGAAAAAAGAAAATAGTCCATTTTAAACCACTCTGTGGTTGTACTTCATATACTATTTATGCCAGCACAATAGTTAGCGTAAAACGCTAACAAAGCACTGGTGTTTTATATGCAACTAAGTACATGTGGTGCAGGGTAACAGCAAATGTTAGCAAAAAAAACACTCCACACAAACCACTCCCTTTCCTATCAATAGCATGAATTGCCAAAGCATAGTTGGCATGACCTTAGATACCAATATCTACAAACCAACATGTCATAAAATACTCCGTGCATTATATTAGACTCCTAGCAACTGCAATGTTATTCCTGAATGGGCCAAGTTTACCTTACCCAAGGTGTTTACAGAAGCATGACAAGAGGGCTGCATAAACACTGCAAATCTTCAGGGCTGCTGTCACAGGTAAACCTGAAGTTAGACCTACCAGCTAAAGTTTCTTTTGAAGATTTGAGCAGATCCCTTCCTTTTTATAGGCAGGAAAACCACTGAAATATACTTAAAAGGAGGCACCTGAAGCCACAATTTCCTCAAGTTTCAGTGAGCTTACTTTGACTTTCCTTTTCCAGTGAACAATGCGTGTTGTGACTGCTCACACCACAAAACAACATTATGAACAAATCCACTAGGTTTAAAGGCGAGGTCAGCTACCAGTGGCCCACGGGATGGATTTGTTCCACCAAGAGACTGTCCCCCATCTCTACCGGCCAGATATTGGCCGCGGTTCTCCAGTAGAGGAGAGCAGTCGTGTTCCTCTGCTCCTGAGCTGTTTTGTTGCAGCACTGCCTGCTGCTGTCCCAGCCCTCCCTGCTTTCTCTTTCGCACCCTCTTATCACAGTTGTTGTTTCTTTCACTACTAAATTTGTTGCTAGCAGGATTTGGCGATGACACGAATCGGGTGGCAAGGGTAAAGGGCAGCAGCAGTGGCAGCAGCTGCAGTAAGGGGCCATGAGAGCAGCCTCAGCATAGAGCCAAGACAGGTAGGGTGGCAACAAGTGGCTTAGAGGGGCGGTGGCAAGAGCCACCTTTGAACTCAGCTACCTTCATTTGGCCTCCCACACCTTAAAGGTTGCTGACTTGTGGTTTAAAGCTATTATTAAACCTTTATTACTGGGTAGCTGGTACTTTAAAGGAGCCAGCATCTCTTGTTTCTCCTCCTTGCTCACAATGAACAGAAACTGCTCAGACATAAGACTGTAGGAAACTTCATTGCACCTCTCTTCAAACATTTGTGTGGAATATTAAAAAAGGGCCTGGCACTGCAGGATCTAAGCAGTTGGGGTGCAACCTGTTACTGGCCTCCAAAAATGAGTTCCAGGCTTTCCGAACTGGTCCTGAATAAATCCTGTTTCTTCGCTACTCACCACCTAAGCAAATTTTTAAAAGCAACAAAACAGCAAGGACACCACAGAAAATCCTAAACGAGTTTCTGCAGTATTTAAACCCCTTCATCACGGCTTGCAGAAGAAGCTGCCTACAAGGCAGGTTTCTCATGTTGTTGCCAAAGAAACTAGTGCATCCTACAGACCTCCATTCAGAGAATTATCTGAAGGCGTTTCGGGGAGATGACAATAGGAACAACAGTCTTTTTTCCAAAAGAAAACTCTTTCATAAAATGAATCTTTTTACCAAGATGTGAATTCAGTAAAACACATTTCATTCCATAATTATGTTAAGTGAAGTCCATATTATTCACAGAGTACTTTTAATCAGTTCTTTAAGTCTTGTACAATATGCCTAGCATACCTTGGTTTCATAGAGCTGGTGCAGTCTTCCTTTTTCCTGAGAAAGCTGTTTGATTTTATTAGTGTGTTTTTCAATTTCTTTGTTTGCATCTCTCAGTCTTCTCTCAAGTATCTCCTTTTCTTTCCGGAGGTCTAATGACTCCTTTTCTCCTCGAACATATTTCATCACCATGGTTTCCTTTTCTTGGCGCGCTTCTTCACATTTCTTGTTTGCCTTTAAAATTGTTACTCTGATTCCGTTAATAATGCATTTTGCAGTTAGCGTTGATAAGTGGGCAATACACATACACAGTACTCCATGCAGTAACTATCGCTGAAGGCGAGGATGCAGATATACATTTTCACTAGCATGATCAGGCTGAACACCAGTGTAATTGTAATGCGTACACACAATATGCAGCCCTATGCTGGTGCATGTTATTCTACTCAAGGGAAAGGTAGCCCTAGGAAAATAAGAAGTACTTCTACACCAGTGCATGTTATTGGTGTACAGGTAGCTAGCTCTACTCAGTATTTGTAGGAACTGTCCACCTGGGCAGAAGTTGGACCCTTGTGGTTCCTTCCCTGCTATTCTATCCTGGGAGAACAGCTTGCTCAAATGCAAATATGCTGTCATAGCATCCCTGCCACCTAGCAGCAAGGTACTGTAATATTGCCTACAGCAACTGGTGACCTGGAGAGAACCAGGTATCGGCCCATTCAGGCCACCAATGTAACTTACTCATGTTTGTAATATTAGGTACATATCTTAAATGTCTGCAAGCCCACAGCTAAATATCTTATTTTAACAGCATAATCAGCAGACTGGTACAGCTTCAGTGTATTTGAGCATTCATAAAAATAAAAAACATACACACTTGATGCTTCCAAGTGAAAATATTTTTGCAAATATATATCGTGCCAAATCTCCCCACGATGTTCTAAACAAGGTCTATTTAGTTGTCTGTTTAAAATCACAGAGATCTTATTTTCAAAAACTTACTAAATTTTCATATGAACAGGAAGCAGAAATTGCATTCTAAAATTCATGCAATGTGGAGAAAGCCCCTGATTTAGTGCAATATTAAGAGAAAAAGATGACCTCCCAGCAACAACACATGAGGTTAAATGGTTAACCTGGAATTAGTCATTAAAGGGTACGTTTTAATTGATAAGAAAGGAAATCTGCTGACAACTCGAACCAATACAAAGCAGATTTAAATCAATGAAAATCATTTCACAGATAGGGAAACTAAAATAGCATTAATGGCCTGGATTTTGTATACATAAACATACAGATGCTCTGCCTTTTCACAGTCTAGGTGTCAAGGACTCTAGTAAAGGTTAAAGTGCATCTTGGAAATCTTGGGGAATCTATTTCTAACATGACAAGGCTGCCAAACATTTCCAAGAAAATTGAATGAGCAATTCAGTGATTAAAAATCATTCTAAGATACCTGGTCCATACGAAATGTCATCTCCTTATGCAATTGCTGAATAGCATTTTTGGCTGCGGCATCTTGGGTTATAAGCTTGTCTTTAGCAGCTTTAACTTCTTTATTAAGCTCTTCTATTTTCACTTCTAACTGCAAAGCAAACATCATTGAGTAATCAGAGAAGAGACAATAAAAAAGATTTCAATCAAATTTTGGAAAGATAGGAACATTTCACCTAAATTAGGTGTTATAGCACTTTAAAACAACAAGGAAAATATCAGGGTAGAATAAATTACTATGTGAAAAGGAAGAGAGGGATTTGGACTAATATCTTTCTCTCTGCTGATGGAGTCTATTGGCAAGGATAACATAAAGGAGCAAAGATCTCAGAATTAGGCCCCACATTCTAATCCAGCTGCTTAGGTTTGCATTAAAAGCAAGAATCAGACATATGACACCACAAATTCGATACATTTAAGATGTACCTTGAATCACTGCCTAGCAAATAAAATATAACTGATGCATTTGTGCAAGCATGCACATATAATATCAGTTACTTCAGTTATGAACACACAGTACAGAACTATATAGTTTTTCTCTGTTCAAAGAGAAAAGACTAAATTATTTTCCAAAGACTCACTTTTATAAAAAGAGAGGGGGAGAATGAAAGAAGAAAAAGAGGCTTAATTTTTAAATGCCATAAATATTACAACTCTTGTTGCTGAAAAGTGCTATTTTAAACTGCAGTGTCAAAAGGTATTTGACTAAACTCATTAAAAAGTAATACTTTCTGAAATTGCCCCAAAATGTGAAACATTAAAGAGCTGGCTTAAATAACAAGAAACAGAATTCAAAGTAGCATGCTCACTTATCAGTACTACTTTCTGTTATGGCACATTTAAGTGAACTATCACAGCAAACTCATGATCCTCACACCATCAGACAGTGATAACAAGGAAATAAGAGCAAGGGACAAGTAAGCTGTTTGTTGCTTTAGGCAGGAGTATATGTTTCAGTTTCTAACTTTTTTAATCCATCTTCTTTTCAACTCTCTGTCTAATAATATTCTGTATGTTAGAAAGATTGCAGAGATGTCCAGAAGGCAAATGAGGCTCCTGTAGTGTGATGCATTCTTCAAGCACTGGAGAACATGACTTTGCCACAGCACTTGAGAATGCCCAACAAATTGAGCAGAAGAAAAAAAAAAGACATTAACAGACAGCTATCTGACATGACTGGGATGCTAACACTAACAGTAGTGTTGTATATTAAATTACTAATATAAAAAGTTAGTAGTTTGGATATCATACCACACCACTACAACACATTTACAGTCTGTTTAAAAATCCATGCTGAAACAACAGCAACAGCATTAACAGATAATCCCATTATAAGCACGCAGTGACATCCAGGATGACACTCCCTTCTGCTTCATCACAAGGCTGCTGTCGCAAACCAATGAACAGCAGGGATGTTTTTCTCTTTAGCTGGTGATAGCTTAGAACACGTGGAAATGTCTGCCATACAGTCCTCCGCCGTGTTGTAAAATATTCACTCGAATATATATATACATACTCACTACAGAGGACTAATATATATTAGTTGTAGACCTAAACAACATTTTGAAGAGTGTCTTCTAAAATATACGTATATAGCAGTGATCATAATCTTTTACTAGTTATTTTCTTGGGTTTTCATTTCCTGGTTAGTTTAATAGCAAAATACTAAAAAGGCAGATATTCTTGCACAGACTAAGAAGAAATCTAACCACATTACGACCTTCAGAGAAAGTACTCCATTCAGCTTAAGTAAAATATTTGGTTCCAAAGGACAGAAAATCCATAATATGGTGAGATTTTACTATTGTTATCAATTATAAAAATGCTGTAAGACATTAACAGCTAAAGAAGTTCCAATTATAACTTAACTTTTCACTTTAAGATTGCTGCCTACTATTGAAAACAAAATATTTATATATTCTAAAGCAGGGAAGTCAAACTCATCTAGCCCCACAGAGCCATGACAATTAACACCGGCACCACTCATCCTGCCAACCAATTTCTGACCCCATAAGGAGACCAGCTTGCTGGATGGCATAACTCTATGGGTCATATTTTTGACACCCCTGTACTACAGCATTTAAACTTAGATCAATATTTCTTGAAATGTAGCTTAAAACAACAGTACAGAAAACTGACAGGAACATCCCTTTCAGGTCAATGCAGCATACATTACATTCCCAACAGGAGTTTTATTCTTGTTTGATTATAAATTCTGGCATTTACTGCAAAGAGGAAACTCAACTGTGTGCAATACAGGGTCTTCAGTGGGAATCTAAGGCACCAAAGTTAAAACACAGGGAACCCCAAGAAATACTGAATAGCTGAAACTCCCTTTGACTTCCAGGTGCTCAACACTTCGCTAGTTTGAACCCAAAAACTAATGAAAATAAAAACAGTATAAGCTTTCAGTAAACAGTTTCCTTGGTATGGAAGGAGACAGCCTGAGTGTTTCACATGAGGTTTATGTAAATACTGGGCCCGTTTCCCCTGTGCATCTCAGTGCCAGGCAGAGGCTCTTATTGCCAGCATATGGAAAAGGTCAGACCAGCCCCGTGCTAGCTGTACCTGTTTAATAATGTTGAGGTGCTGCTTCTCTGTCTCTGTTCGTTTTTTCAGTTCGTCTTTCAAGTTGTCCTTTTCGGAACAAATTTCCAATATCAGTTCCTGGTGCTTTTTGTTTTCCTTAATTAACCTGTATGCAACAAGGAAAAGGAGAATGAAACATGGAAACCCACAACTGGGGGGGAACTATGCTGTGCAAATGCGGTGTATTTTAGAACCCCATTAGAATTGCAGCCAGCAATAGCAATAAAGCCCTACAAAGAAAGGATCAAATAGACGTGTTCAGTGTGTGGAGGACAAAAATAAGTGATCCCCAAAAAGCTGGGTACCTGTAAATTTTAACCTAGAATGAGCTGTGACAGCTTTCTATAAACACTTTTATGCAAGGTTTTTACAATAACTGCTGACAGAGCCTTAGATACAGGGTGTTTATAACGTGCTTGTGCAACTTTAAACTTTAATAGCTTTGGATATAAACTTTGGATAGGAGCAAACTGTAAATGATGATTCAAAGCATAATTCATTAAGTTTTTATACAATACAGCTCAAATTTCTAGACTTCAACATAATGCCACCTTTCATGATACATCGTTCAATATGATTTTCCAACTCACAGAAAACAATTTCCAGTTGTTGCTAAGTGATTTCATGAATTGCATTTGTAATCCTTACCCTATGCATGGCTTACACTATGCTAAAATGAACTTATGAATTATGCTTTCAACAGCTGTTTACAGTTTGCTTCTATCATATGTATATCAAAAGTTATTAAGGTTTAAAGTTGCACAAGGACTTTATAAACACCCTGTCCAGTAAAGCACTTGATGCTGCACTCTCTGGCTGGTATGAATGTAAGCCAACAACTGCATGTCACTGGGCAATGAAAACACTGGTAAAATACTGCTTTCTAGTTAGCTACACTGTTCCTGTCACTCTAGTTCCTGGGAACTTCCAACACATTCAGAAATGCCCAGCCACAATATAGATATCAATGCAAACACCGATATTACCTTATTTTTACAGCACGGACAGAGCAAGCAATTGGTTTGCTCACAAAGGAAACCTGTCCCAGCCAGAAATCAAATTGAGACTTCCAAAGCCATAATCGAGACTCTTACCCACAGGCAGCTCTCTTTTTATAACAAGTTCTTCTTTGCAGTAGGGCAAGCTGAAGGCTGAACTGAAGCTACAGTCTAAACAGCGTATTTGGCTTGATCTTCATGGCCTCGCACCACAGCGTTCCAGAACGGATGTGAAAGAAGGTTATAAACAACCGACTGGAGCAATATTTGCAGTATTATGGACCATCTCTTCTGAAGTATTTCGGTACCCAGCAGCACTCTCAGAAAGACCTCAGCAGGTTAAGTGACTGCAGTTGGTATCAGTAGAAGTTCGGCACCTAGGCTTCACAAGGACGTTTTAAAATCCCATGGGCCATCCTCTGCATCTTCAGCCATCAAAATGCATGTAACATTCTGGTTTTAAGCAACTTAGGGCACATCTACCAGTGTGCTTTACTGCAAGTTGACTAGTTAGCTCCACAGCAAAGCATCACCATCTATCTACATGTGCGCCAGTATTAGGGTGTACTAGATTAATTAACTGCACCCTTAGATAGTAGCATCGGGGACAGTACTATCTTAGGGCGCAGTTACTTACTGTACCGAACTGCATGTGTAGATGGTGACTGGGGTCGGCTGGGGCACCAGGGTGAAAAAGTACAGAGGTTGCCTGCTGCCCAACCCCACACTTTAGCACCCTCATGCCCCAGCCAGCCCCTTGGCTGCCGACACTGGTACCTGGAGCCCAGGCTGCTCTGCCCTGGATCAAACCACTGCAGTCCCAGGTGCAGCATCTGCACATGCGCCCTACACCACAGCAGTTTCAGTATCTACACATGCCATTAAGGTGCCGTGATAAACACTGGCACAAACTAGGCCAGAGTTTATCAGTCGCCTTAATGGCACGTGTAGCTGCACCCTTAGGCTCCTAAATTACACTGGCTTCCAGTGTTTTCCTCCAAGTCCTTTTGGTCGGTGGGTATCTTTACTGCCGAAGGCAGACAGAGGAAAGAGACAGGTTAAAAACCCAGGCTTTTATTTTTTACACCCAGGATAGAGCACAAAAAGAAAGGCTTGTCCCCATGCCATGTTAGACTGGACATTAGGAAGAACTTCTTCACAGTTAGAGTGGCCAGGGTCTGGAACGGGCTCCCAAGGGAGGTGGTGCTCTCCCCTACCCTGGGGGTCTTCAAGAGGAGGTTAGAGGAGTATCTAGCTGGGGTCATCTAGACCCAGCACACTTTCCTGCTTATGCAGGGGGTCGGGCTCGATGATCTGTTGAGGTCCCTTCCAACCCTAACATCTATGAATCTATGACTCTCTTTGAAAATTGAATTTCGGTTCTTTTCAAAATGCTAATCCAGTCTATATAAAACATGAATCGAATCACTACAACTCGGCTGAATACTGGCAGTGGGAACATCCCACTGCCCAGGGGAAGAGTGGGAAGAAATCAGACTATTTATATGCATTGACAGTCTCTACGTGTGAAATAGCGGCCCAGAATAAGACACAGTTCCTTTCTGCAAAGAAAAATACGGGAACCTCAGTGCAGAACAGAACTGAGCACTCAGTCTGGCAGCTGTTTCAAGGGGAATTCTACTATATTACAGTTACCATAGGTATCCAATCCATCACAACTTCACATTTAAGGCAACCCCACACAAATAATTAGATTCTAGACATGGGAAATTATAAATCTGTTATAATTTTCCATGTATAGAATCTAGTTAGTGGAAGGTCATCTTAAAAATGAATCCCCACCCACTGCTGTGGTGGGAAAAATGGTAGTGGGGGGAAAGAGGTCAGACCATCCCCTTGTCCCCCCACTGCTGCCAGCCTCCCCATACGTCCCCCTGTCCCTTACTCTCCTGTGCCTGTACCTGCCCCCCACCCCCTGCTCCTGCTGTCTGCCCCCATTCCCTTCTGCTGCAGCTCTGCTCCTCTGTGGCAGTCAGCAGCAGGACGGCCCCACACTGGCTCCAGCCCAACCTGGTCCCTGCCCACCTCCTCCTCCCCCTACAACCTGCCACTTGGCCCCCTCCAGTCTCCCCTAGCTGAGTGGCCCCTCCTCCACCAAACAAGCTATTCCAGCCTGGGGCCAAAGCTGGAGTTGAGCCACTGCCTCCCCAGGCTCATACTCGAATCCAAGATGAGGCTTTTCCCCCCTCCCACTCCCCTGGCTGACTCGGGGGGAACCTCACCTTGGATTTGAGTAAGTACGGTAATTTAATAACAGCTACATCAACTGCAGCCTGGTCCCAAGGGTACAGGGCAACAAGCACCCACAAAGCTTTTCATGTATTCTGTGTCAGGCTGTAGATGCCCACCTATAACCTAAATCTGACCCCAGCAATACAAAGTGCAGACCATTTCTGGGGCAGCATTGCAGTGATTCGGTGGATTGGAATCTTCGACCCAACCCAGAACGCCCTTTGGACCAGCTACCGCCCCAAGCAGTCTCTTGTCGTCACAGGCAGGCCCATTACGGGAGTAGCAAACAGCATGCAAGCATGCCCTGCTCTTCTGGAAATGCAAGAGGGAGAAGTAAAGTAATGGTACTTGTCTCTCTAAGAAAATGACAGGCTCCCAGGGCAGGACACTGAGCTGCGGTAGTAACAGAGCTTACACAGTGAATGACCACCCAGATAACAAACAGGTTAAACCCAATCAACCTGTTTATACACAATCCTTAGGAATTATGGCCATCCACACGCCCACCACTTCCAGCTCCCACTCCTCATTCCTTGTCATTGCTGCTTGTACAAAGTACACGAATCACAATCATGCTGTCGTGCTCTCTATTAAGTATTTTCTAGGAGGGGTTAATTTGGTATGTTTTTTGTTAGGGATTAATTGGCAATGTTATAAAATCTTCTCACAGAATGGGAATTTCTCAATAGAGGTTCTCTTTTCTTTTACATAGTTCTCCATTACATATCACAGTATATCCCATGAGAAGTAAACACCAAAAAAGCCCACATAGATTACAAAAACCCCTTGTGTTCAACCCTGCCAGCAGCAATAAATTTAAAATTAGAGGATACACTTTACAAATGATCAAATGCTTCTTATGTAATGAGAAAACATTAAGAAAGCCAAAAATTAAAGCAAAAAAACCTACCAGTTACCTGAAAGAATCCACATTTAAACATTCTTCATCCCTTTAAATAGTTAACAATTCAACTATAAAATTTATCACAACAAACTTTGATATTCAGAAACCTAAGTTTCAAAAGCTTTCCTACATCATCCAGTAAAGTGCTAATTTATTTCTATACACTGATGCTTTAAGGACTCTACATTTAAAAAAGCCTTCAGTTTTCTGAAAACTGAACTGAAATGTCCTTTTCCAGCTTTCTGAAAAGCCAAAGCCATCTCAAACTAGTAAAGGAAGCTTCTCATTTTAAATGGCAGTTTTCAACCTTTTTTTATTTGTGGACTCCTAAAACAATTTCAAATGGAGGTGAGGACCTCCCCCCACCCTTTGAACTGTAAGTGTAGGTGTTCACATACTTTTGATTGATCACAGTCATCTTTTGTGAACTCAGACATAGTGGCTCAGTACAGACAGTCAAAAAGCCCGAGGCTGAATCGATTCAACCTTTGCAGGTTAAGTCTAAGCTGCGTAGATGGAACCGATAAGCAAGTGAACAGACATTCACTTTTGATTCTGGAAATGCAGTGGTTCAGGCCCATGAGGTGCGCCGCAGTAAAGCAGATAGCTTGGGCAAAGCCTAGCCCACCCACCCTGCAAGGGGGGCAATTGCAGGGGAGATACAATTCCTCCTAGGATGCCGGGGGACTGAGTTAAATTGAATCTGGAAGGGATTTGGGACAAAAGTTCAATAAACCGTTTTAACCTAAAACAGTGAAGTCTGATACTACACCCATTCAGGTTTGTCTTAAACTGGTTTCAGCCATTTTGAAACCAGTTTATGCATACTAAATTTCTGTTGTGTTATAGATTTGAACTGGTTTCCAACCACTTATCCCAGTTTATATGTAATTTCTGTCCCTAATCAGTCTGTGGACCCCCAGGGGGGTCTGCTGACCACATGTTGAAAACTGCTCTGTTAATAAATAGGATTTTCAATTAAATTTGAAAGAGGTAGGGTAAATAAAGGTTTCATGGGATTGGTTCTCTCACACTTAACAAAAGTTTCATTTCACCCCTTATCTGGAGGAATTAACTGGCATGCCAGGCTATTTGACTAAGGATTCCAGATTAAGGATTAGCAAAATATCACACCTGACCAGAAGTTTGAGGTTTAATTACGCTGATGTACAAAAAATGTAAAACATAAAATGTAAAAATAACTCAGCATTTACAGAGCATCTTTAAAGACCTCTTACATCAAGTCATAGTAGTGTTAATAGCAACAAGACACGAAACTGCACATGCCATGAGGTCATAATCCCACAACAAATCACACAACTGAGAAAATTGGTTACGCACACTTGTATCTGTGGCGCGATTAGTCAGATACTCACTTCTTTATGGTTTGCTCCTGTTCCAGGTATTTGTCTTGCACACGTTTGTCAAACACTGCCAGGGCCTGCTCCCCTTTCCTCATTCCGTTCGGGAGTTTGCGCTCTTTTGAAAAATCGGTGGCTATCAGTTCAGATTCAATTTCTTCCAACAAAGCCTCCTGCGATGAAGACTGCTGTATTGTGGAAATGAGCTTCTTTGTGCAGTCTGTATCATAAGGGCTTTCTGAGTAAATTCTATCCCTAGATTTTTTTACAAAGTCAGATTCTTCTCTCAACTCCTGCAATAACTCCATAAGGGACTGTTCTGTGCCATTCGTTTTCGAAACCTGTCGTTCAAAATCCCCGCTGGGCAAGAGTTTGGGTTTCCCAGAGCCTTCCCCTCGTCTTTCAGGAGAAGTCTTAGCACAGCAGTCCCCACCTCCTCCGTGATCAGGTGAAGGCTGCTGTTGCTCCAGCATTTCAGTTCTGGCCCCATCCCCCCTCATGTCAACAGCTGTGAAACCATGGGCTGCTGGCAATGACTCAGATTCCCTTTCCAAGGTGGGATCCTCTTCTTCAGCAATGCTTGCATCATCCTTCCCGTCAGAAGTTCTGTCAGCACTTTCATGCTGTGAAGAGCTGGGAGAGGCACTCTCCAAGGCTTGCAAAGTAACCACCTCTATTACACTCTGCATGTCTGGCCTATGCACTTCCATTCTTTCCTTTCAGGAATCTGGAAAGAGAATGCAGACAGTGTTAACTTCAAAGAGACAGGATTAAAAAAAATAAAATAAACCAACCTGAGGGACTGGGGAGAGAAAGATTCAATTGGAAATCAAAACGCAGGACAGGGTAGAAAGAATTTGCTTCTGGCCAAAGTTTAACCAGGGTTTTGCCCAGTTTAGCATTCTGTCTGCTGAATGGACGCGCTACTGATTACATCGAGTTTCAAGAGAGGGTGGGAAGAATCAAAGTGCTATGATACTAACTACTGTTAATTAGTGTATTTTCCTACCTTCTAGTAACTCTTGCAGTTTGAAAGGTGAAACCATAGAGGTGACAGAGCTCAGCTCAGTGATTCTCAACAAGGGTGCCGCAGCATCCTGGGGTGCCTTGATCTCCTTTCAAGGGTGCCAATGATGTTAGCAGTGCTAGGTTTGCAACATGATTCACAGGATAAACCTAGAGATTTCAAATAGAAATCCATAGGTGTGGGCCGAGTTCTTTGCAACAGAAAAATCCCTGCTCTGTTATTTTTCGATACTCAAAAATCAGTAAAAATTAAGAGCTGGCATTGTTGAGGGGTGTCCTGAGTCTAAAAAGCTTAAGAACCACTGGTTTAGTTCCGTTTAAAAAAAAGAAATCAGAGTGGCTACTTTCAGACTAATAGCAAAAACCAGGGCTTCCATAGTAACTGATATTATAGTACACGAGTCCAATTGCCGTTAGGAACAAGCACAAAGTGAAGACACAAAAATCATTCTGTGGAGTATGGGATCACGTTCCAGCTACCGCCCATAAACATTTTTTCCAGAGTTGGAGGAGGCTCTCACCCTCCTTCCACTCAGTCAAAAAAAATAACCCACATAGTTCCTCATTGCTGAGCCCTGACTGTCCATACACAGCCTGTACACACAACTGGCAAAACATCTCTACACAGCAACCTGGTGAGGTGAGAAAACAGCTTCCCATTTCTGCCAGCTTCACGCCCTACAAAGAAGCATCTAGCTGCTTGAAGAAGGCCCTCTACCTCAGTCTGTAATACTGTACAGCCACCCTCTCAGAAAGGAGTTGGCAGAATGAATGTTTGCAGAATCACCAGATGTAGAAACTGCTCCATACAGCAGAGCTCGGGTACATAGATTGCAAATAGCCAAGCGCACTTGCTGGCCAGCTTCCCCAAGGTGGCTGGTCACACAATGTTGTCTCCTCTTCGTTTCAGAATGCTTCTGCAGGTGTCCAGACAATTCACTGTGAAGACTCTAGAAACACCACTGGCCTTTTTAGGCTGACCTGTTGGTCAGTCTTCAGGAGACAAGTTGCAATGCCTTGATGACAAGGAATCAAATGTCTTTGGTGTGCTCTTGTAAATACCAAGGGTCCCATTTCTCTGAACAAGCAGAGGTAGTTTCCTAATTCAGCAGTTCAACTCTGCCATTCCAGGAAGCAACCTGCCCTCACACACCAGTTTCCTTGCTGCCTCCCAACACTGGCACCACCTCTTCTCCATCACCAGGGTGACCCCGTGGTCTCTTGGCTTTGCTTTTGCTCACTCCCTGCCATGCTAGCCAGTGCCTTGGGTTGTGACTTGTATTGTCCCAGCTACTAGTAAGCAAGGGGACTTTTCACTGCATCCTCATTATGCTTGAATGTATAATGTTCAATAGTGGCAGACTTCTACCAGGTCTGATTGACTGCTACCACTAATGCCCTCCAGCATAACATGCACAAACAGCTGCAAAAAAATAAGGAGAAATCAACTTACTTGCCTCTACCAAAAGCAAAATCTAAGACTGAACAGAAGCCAGTATTTGGTAATGGTAGATAACATGTAGGATTCACAGCAGGGAAACAGAAGGAATTTATACAGCGACAATACAAATATATGGGGAGGAACAAACACTAAGTTTTGAGGATTCAATATTTCCTGCAGACTTGCTACAAATGCAGTTATTGACCAGAATAACTTAAGAAGATTCCTAGCCTTCCTCATAATGAAGTCATAAACTGCGTTATATCACTTTGTATTTCAAATTCTGTCTGCTTGCAGTGTAAGATTGAATTGTGAAGTGTGATTTCCCACCACTCATCAACTGTGCAGTGTTAACTTTTGCATTCAAATTACCAACATGTAAATAAGGAATACTAACATTTGTCACCATTTCATTGCTGCTCCTCACATTGGAAACCTCCATCTAATGCATTTAGTGGAAATGATGATGGCAGCTGTATTTTGCCATTCAAGTACAATACTCCTTGCAAATGAATGAAACAAAACAATGAATTTTGAACACGTGTTCAGTGACAATTTAGTTGCTTGCAACAGGGTTTACAAATAAAGGTCAGAGGCAGGTACCTTTTAGCAGCTGAAAAGTCTAGGTGCAGCTTATGAACAGGGACCTATTTAAAATTGTGGTAAGACAAAGGCTTTTTCACAGCCTGCTCCTGGCAGTGAGGACCACTGGTTGCCAACATTTTTTTTCTGGTGTTGATTTCACGGACAGTCCAGGATTTCACGGTTTCTGTGAAACCACAAATTAATTAAGTCCCTACTTATAAAAATTCAGTTTATTTTAAAAATTGAGAGACTACTTTAAATATCAACTGTTAAAATATAATACAGCCAAAAACTACTTTAGATATTAAGATACACCTGCTTTCACTGTATATTTGAGAGAATCTTAACAGACTTGTCAGGTCTTCCTGCCGTTTTTTTCTTAACCTGATTATTAATTTAAAGTTATTTTTTCCAAATATGCATAAGTCATGAAGTTAACAGTATCATTTCCCAAGGACTTGTTACTTTTAAAAATTTAAGTAATACCCATTATACTATGTGCTATTTGTGTGGGTATAGAATAACAGAAAATACTAAACTTAGTTAAAGTACTAGCCAATTGCCCATCAGGAATGACGGGGGGGCGGGGGTTGTAAGGCAGGCAGGTACAGAGTGCTGCCTCCCCACCCCCGAGGCTGCTCCATCCCCACAATCATGGCGGCGCTCAGCCGCACTGCCACCTCCTGTCCGGAACACTCTTGGTGCACTCTGATTGGTTGTTTCAGACAACCAATCACAGTATGAATGAAGCGTTATGGACAGACAGACAGACAGACAAAGGCTTTTATAATATTACTAGCCAATTGCCCATCAAGAATGACGGAGAGGAGGGGGCTAAGATGGAGTGTCGCTACCTAACACCCTGTGCTGCTGCTGTTCTGCCTATTGCAGGGAGCAGGGTCTGTCTGGTCTTCAGCAGTGGTCCTGTCCACCCTCTGTCCGGTCCTCAGCGCGACTTCAGAATCATGGTGGCACTCCCCCATGCTTGAAGCACTCTGATTGGCAGTTTCCATCAGCCAATCAGAGTGCAAATCAAGTGTTACAGACAGACAGATTTAGGCTTTATAATATTATAACGATTAAAATATATGACAACATAAAATTCTGTGTCATCTCAGTGGCATTCACTTCTACAACACCTAAGCAAGGGGAGCAAGTTAATCTCAGCATAGCTCGTGTCCACATGCAGCAGTTAGTCATCTTTGTAACCTTGGGAGTCAACCACATCTGACTTTGCCAAACACCTAGGCTGACATGTGAGCATCTTCCTGTGATTTAGTCCATGATGCAAGCATGGCAGAACCTACTACTCTGGCAGAACCTTTATAATATGCCTGTGCAACTAGTCTGACGAGTCCTTTGGACACTCTAGAGCAGCATTTCTCAACCCATGGGTCATGACCCAAAAGTGAGTTTCAAGAATGTTCGTGACCCTTTCATATAATCGGGGGAAACGTGGGAAAAAAAAATTCACAGATTTTCTCCTTTAAAGGAGAAAAACACAGGAAACCCCTTGCAGGCTGACAGAGTTCCAGCCTGAAAGGGGCTGGGGGAAGTGGGAAGCAGAATGAGGGCAATCGGGTGGGGGGGGGGGTCCCACATGCATGTGCACACATGCACAGGGCAGCCAGGCAGTGTAGAAAGCAGCTCTGACAGCTCCTGCTAGAATACACTGATCAGTAGCCAGACTGAAAAGGTAAATTGTTTTGCTTGCTGCTACTGAAAGGAGCTATCTTAGGTGCTTAGGTTTTTTAAACTATATCCCTAATCTCATAGTAAATGGGACTATTCACGAGTGCACAGTTACGAAGCTGTGCGAATGGTTGAAGGATCTTATGTGGTAGATATAAAAGCCAGATGAATAAAATTTCCAAGTTGAAGGAATCTATTTAACATGTTTTGAATTATGTACTTACTATTTTTCTGCCAGCAAGAGTCCCCTGCTGAGCTTGAAATACCCTTAAAGATGCTTGGAAATCAATCAAAATAGAAATATATTCCTTGGACTTATTTAACAAAACATGACCCATAACATGTTGTTTATTCATTGCATATGCTGAATGAAGGATTTTTTTTTTTAATCCAAGACACTCTCCCATCCTAACTTTTGCAAATCAGGGACCAACTGTGGAGCATCCTGTTTGTTAGGAATTCTTAAAAGTCCAGGAAATCAAATACCCTGAGGATTAGGGGGGGGGGGGGGGGGGGGGGTGGCATCTGC